ACTATTAACTGGACAAAGACCTGCAGTAAGACACATCATCCAGATGAACCGACAGAACTTTAGAAACACCAGTTTCACCACCATTATTCCAAAAAGTAACACACTAATCAGAACAACAGTATACCGAGGCCATGATTCTCATACGAACACCTGCCAGAGACCCAGCCCGCTCTGTGTTTGTTAACCCATCAATAGACATCAATGAGAAGAAGTCGACCGTTTGCCACTTTGTGAGGATGCTCACAGTCAGCACCTGAACTAGATTTAACCTCTGTTACACACTTTAGTTAAAAAGATGATCACAACCCTGCATCGACCCTCCATTATCACCAGTTAGAATCCAGACTAATGATTTATTCTCAGCACCCCAATAAGCACCAAGTTCTCACCACTGTTTCACCTCTTTCACAATAATCGATTCATATCCTTCAGAAAAGCAGTTTCTTCAGTAGCAACAACTAAAATCTATGATCCAGTCGAGTCTCCCAGTTGCTGGGAGGGTTACACCTGTGGGGATCCATTACACCAGTATCACAGGCTCCTGAGGGTCTGGGGCTGTTTTCATTTAGGCCACATTCATTGGGTCAGAGTCTGGGGGTTAGTAGTAGTAGTAGGGTAGTAGACACCCACATAACCACACATTGTGTTTGTGAACCCAACTATACTGTTCCTGCTGTTTGCAGATGGCAACTGCATCCACATGGTGGACACTGGCATCGTGCAGAAGCTTCTGGAGCTGCTGGATCGGCATGTTGAGGAAGGAAACGTCACTGTTCAGCATGCAGCCCTGAGCGCCCTGAGGAACCTGGCTATACCTGGTGGGTCAATGTATCAGACCAGGTTACAGGTGACGCCTGTTTATTCAAACATGCACCGTCTGGGGACTCTGTGAGTGTGCGGCTAAGCTGCTGTCATTCCCAATTACTTCCACTAACAGCTGGCTGGAATATTCAGACGTTTCTTGACAGTTGCACCCACTGAGCTCCAGAGATCGACCCGTTCTTTAGAAAATGTTTACCCGCGTGCCAGTGCTGAGATCTAAAAATCTAAAACCTGCAGGACACCGGCTCTCGAGGGCCAACGTTCCCGACCCCTGGTCTAAGGAGTTTGATAGAGTAGCTCAGGGCTGTGTTGTTGATCATTTTAGAAGTAAGCAGCAGTATTTTAAATTGGATGTGATATTTAATGGGTAGCCAGTGCAGGTCAGCTAGAACAGGGGTAATAGAGGCAAACCTCCCAGTTCCTCCATCCAGCCGACAGGTCACAAAGGCGTGAACAAGCTTTTCCAGGTCCTTATGCAGAACATAATGCTTAGCCTTGGAAATGACACGCAGTTGGCAGAAACTAGATCTAACTACAGCAGACACTTGTTCATCAAATTTAAAAGAGCTGTGCAGCAACACGCCCAAACTGCTAACAGTGTCAGAGAGGGAGTTGGCAAAGGAACCAAAGGCATCATGAAGTTGTCCGTGATAAAATATATTAATATTACCATCAAATACAACGCAGGAAGAGCAGGTGACCAGGTCGACTGAGAAGCACCTGTTGGAGAGGTATGGTTTAAACCAACCACGGGCGACATGCCTACAGTATGCTCAAGCCTCGCTAACAACATGCTGTGATCCACCAGGTCAAAAGTCGAGGATAAATGCAATAGAGCTCGGACCGCAGCGCCTCCAGTATCAGCATTACGCCTGGAGTTGTGAAAGAACTATCCTCTCGAGAATTCCTGACAGGAACGGGAGCTTAAAGATCGGCCTGTGATTCACAAAATAATTATAATCAAGAACAGGCTGGACTACGGCAGGTTTCAAAGCTGACGGGACGCAGCCAGAGACTGAAGAAGGATTCATTAAACATGAAATACTGGGTCCAATTACATCGAAGCCGTCCTTGACTATGCGAGGTGGGAGGATATCATATACAGGAGTAGTGTTATTCAGTTGTTCAACTAATCGCTTCAGAGTAAGGAGTGACACGAGCTCAAACTGATGTTTATCTGGAGTTGATCTGTTTTCCACCTCCTCTCATCACGGCGGCAGACACGTCGTAAGGCGCGCGTGGAGGTGTTTAAGCAGTGTTGGGAAAAGGTTGTAGGGCGCTTCATTTTAATAGGTGCAACAGCGTCAAGGATAGAGGAGCATATGGATAACAAGGTGTTTGCAAAGTCTTCAACCATATGAGAGGCAGAACAATCAAAAGTAGTGGATGCAGAATTCAGGAAAGACACAGAGGAATTTGCCACAGTTTCACACGTAAAGTCCAGTTCAGTATTATCTAAGTCAACATGACTGGAGTGGTCGGAGATCCCAACATTGTTTATCCTTTATGCGAATGTCCAAGCCTCAGGAAAAGACAAGGGTGTGGCCCTTAGTGTGGGTAGGTTCATTTACCCACTGAACGAGGTTAAGAGTCAGTTAATGCAAGAAAGTCTTTAGCTAACAGGTTGTCCCTACAGCAGACGTGTATATTAAAATCCAGTAATAAGAACAGCCATGTTTAAAAAGACCAGAGCCTACAAGGTTGGTAAATTCAGTGATAAGTCTTATTGTATTTAGGCGAGCGCCAAACAGTCATCTCCAGTAGCTGGTAAAGGTACTGGAAAGGGTAAAGGTAGGGGAGGGTAGCTGTCGAACGTTATGTTTATTCTTAAAAACCGAAGCTAAGCCACCACCTCAACCAGTAAGTCTCGGTGAGCTAAGAAAGGCACAGTCTGGGGGAGAAGCTCTGAGAAGGGGATGGACTCACTGGGGCGAATCCAGGTCTCCGTTAGGAATAAAACATCCAGTCCAGAAGCGAGGAAAAAGAAAAGGCGTTGTTCGCCAGTGGCCTGACATTAAGTAGAGCCATCCATGTCCATGTCTGGTAGCCCGTCGCAGAGCGCTTAGGTTGCTATGAGCGACGCTACGTCTGAAGAACATAATCCAGGACTGAACAGGGAGGCATGCCACTGGAAGGACTGGGTAGGCTTGAAATCCAGCGGGGCATTCACCTGGATGACATCAAGCTGTATGCCCAGAGTGAGACATCCAGTCACTGATCCGTACCATTAGGATCTACAGCAATCGGAATGTTGTTCGGACTGGAGAAGAGTTAATCAGATGGATGCAAAGAGAGGGAAGGTAGTCAGGACTGCACAACTCATTCTCCCACAAGCACCTCTTTCCATGTTTTATCTAAGTGCTAAGTTCAACCCTGATGGATGCATTGGAGAGCAGTTAGTATCTTCCCCAAGGATATTTGACCAAGTGGCCGGCATAGTGTACAGGAACATCTGTGCTGAGTATAACCTGGAAGTCCCGAGGTCAAAATGGGAGACGCCCCCAAGGGTGGTGGAGAATGACCGAGCTAAGATCCTGTGGGACTTCCAGATACAGACGGACAAAATGGTGGTGGCTAACCAACCGGACATAGTGGTGGTAGACAAACAGAAGAAGACGGCCGTAGTGATCGATGTAGCGGTTCCCAATGACAGCAACATCAGGAAGAAGGAACACGAGAAGCTGGAGAAATACCAAGAGCTGGAGAGGATGTGGAGGGTGACGGTGACGGTGGTCCCAGTCGGAGGACTCGCCCACATGCTCGTCAAGAAGTCATTCATGAAAAAGTTCATTTTATTTTCAACAAAACAGTCGACAAACTGTGAGGGTGTAACACATAATCTACTAGTAAACAAATTGTAAAACAACATGATACACGTTCATACTGACATCTAAATAAATAAGTTACTGTAAAAAGAGTTTTAGAAAAGCTTTGGATAAAATCTCTCATTAGTTCTACTGAGATAAAGAAACTGAGCTCTCGCTGTGGAGGACTGAACACTGCCTGCATGTTCAGACTGACCACAGAGCTGCACACAGCAAAATAAGGAAAACATTTAAATAACGTGTTGCAAAAGTATCATCCACTGATGTCACTGCTCCTCAGTCTGCAGCTCTGTACATCCTCAGCTCTGCTCTTCAGGCCAGGAACTAGTCTGATCCAGTGGCTCTGCTCTTATTTGTGCATTACTGCACACTGTGGAGGCTCTGCTGCGTTCAGCTGTGGATTCATGGCACACTTACTTCTCCCTGTGTAATCTGCTCTGTCACCTGTGACTCATGCAGCCTGCAATAATCACTCAGCTCTGGCAGCCACTTTAATATCAGCATATTGCTAATGTTCTCTGTGCTGGTAGTTACAGAGCTGATGTTTCCACGTCAGCCATGATGGATCTTTGTTCAGGGTTGGGAACGCCAGCTTCTTCATAGTGAAGGAGGAGCCGTGTGCCTGATGCTGTCAGCACAATATAAGCATCATATACCTTTGTGTTTTGTTGTTAACAGTGTTCTCTGTGATTTCCTCTGCAGTGGTGAACAAATCCAAGATGCTGTCAGCTGGAGTGGCAGATGTGGTGTTGAAGTTCTTGCAGTCGGAGATGCCTCCAGTCCAGTTCAAGCTGCTGGGAACGCTACGCATGCTCATCGATACCCAAGGTAAACGCTGTGCTGTCGGGACAGTTAGGAGAGCTTCTTAACAGCCTTGATTTTGAGTCTTTAAGACGCACAAATATGAAGGCAGCTCCTCACGTATGCAGCATCAATGACAGCAGCTTGCCCACTGTGTGTTGGCTCAGCTGAAGCAGCAGACCACCTGGGAACCAATGGGAAGCTGGTGGAAAGGCTGGTGGAGTGGTGCGAAGCCAAGGACCACGCGGGCGTGATGGGCGAGTCCAACAGGCTCCTGTCTGCTCTCATTCGACACAGCAAGTCCAAGGTCAGACACCACACGCCGTCACTCATCCTCCAACACTGTCGCTGTGCTCGTTAACTGTTCAGGTCTGCAGCCGGTCCACGTTCAGGTTCCCAGAGTGGGAGGTAATCCGGGCAGACGTTTGGAAGTAAAAGGCATCGATAGCGACTGAGCTCTGAGAGCTAACTGCACCCACACCTGCTGATTGTATTGTGTAGTCAGTTAGCTGGTGTTGATCAGAGTATCCCAGAAAGTTCTGGATGTTTGAGCAGCTTCTTTTTAGTGTTATTTAAAATTTGCTGACATTCACAAGCTCAGTTTGTCCCAGTGGCTGTATCACTGTACAGTTGGTGCAGAGCTCATTAATAGTTATGTCCTTCCTGGGTGTGACTCACCTGAAAGAAGACGTCTGACTCCATGGTGTCACTCCCAGAGCACACAGCCAATGAGCTGCAGGGGAAATGGCTGCACTGACCTACATCTTCACTCAGCCTGGAGCTGGAACATCACTGTTCAGAGACCAGGCTGGTGAACATTCAGCTCTGTTGGGCCAAGCTCACCTTTGACCTTTACAGAGGAAAATATTCAGGATCATTTCACTAATACTGCTTTTTATTTGGACTCTGTCACCTCCACCCATATTTGTGAATTAATTATAGGCCAATCTCCACCCTTCCTTTCATACAAATGATCTTCTCATGGCCTCTGACAGTGGACTCGTCTCTGTGCTGCTAGACCTCAGTGCAGCGTTCGATACTGTCCACCATAATATCCTGTTAGAGCGATTAGCATTGACGGTACTGACAGGGCCCAGAAACAGAGCAGATTTCTCCTGTATCGGCTTCCCTTCATTGGCTCCCTGTTAAATCCAGATTCAGATTTAAATCCTTGTCATCTTTTCCTCCTCAAGCTCATCTTAAGCTCTCAGAGTACCATATGACCTCAAACACAGCAGCTGAGAAGGGTGACTGGAAAGGAAAAACTCAATGCATCATGGGAATCCCCGGCAGCCTACGTCTATTGCAGCATAACTAAGGGAGGATTCAGGGTCACCTGGTCCAGCCCTAACTATATGCTTTAGCAAAAAGGAAAGTTTGAAGCCTAATCTTAAAAGTAGAGATAGTGTCTGTCTCCTGAATCCAAACTGGAAGCTGGTTCCACAGAAGAGGGGCCTGAAAACTGAAGGCTCTGCCTCCCATTCTACTTTTAAATACTTTAGGAACAACAAGTAGGCCTGCAGAGCGAGAGCGAAGTGCTCTAATAGGGTGATATGGTACTACAAGGTCATTAAGATAAGATGGGGCCTGATTATTGAGGTTTTTCTTTGTTATTGTCAGCTCTTTGCTAACATAACATTGAACTGAACATCAATGTTCAGGCCCAAAGGTTACAGGTCATTTCTGATTATTACACCTGATGTCTGGACTTCTATGGTTGGATTTGTTTGCATGTGTGGATGAGATGTGTTTTATGGAAGATGTGACTGTGTTTGATTTATTTGAAATGATAGAAACTGTTACATGTAAGTAATTATCATCACATGCAGTTCTCTTTAAAGCAGCTCACAGTGCGCTGAACCTCTCTGAGTGTTTTTAATTCTGTAGTTTTCTTTTTCTCTCTTTAGGAAGTAGTGAGGACTGTCATCCAGGGAGGAGGAGTCAAACACTTAGTTACCATGGCAACCAGTGAGCACATGATCATGCAGAACGAAGCCCTGGTGGCTCTGGGTCTCATAGCAGCCCTGGATTTAGGTAAGCTCCAGGCAGGATCCAGGATCCATGTCGTCGTCATCTGTGACACAGAACATGTTTTAGGTGTGAGCAGCTGTGGTTACTCACCACTTTTGAATTTCAGATGATGCACTTTGTAGTTTGAAGGTGTTTCAGGAGCCGTGTTACACACAAGCATGTTTAGAAATGTGACGCTGGAGCTTGTAACGTCTGTGCAGCGTGCACTGCAGCGTGGATGACAGGTTTGCGTTTCAGTTGCAGCTGAGAAGGACTTGGTTGGAGCCGGCCTGGTGTCTGTGCTTCACAAGCTGCTGTCAGATGAGAGGAGTGCACCGGAGATCAAGTACAACTCCATGATCCTCATCTGTGCAGTCATGGGCTCAGGTGAGACTTTACCCACTCACATGTTTGAGCTCTATGTGACTGCTGATTGGCTGCAGAGATCAAACATGTTGTGCTGATGAAACTCTGGATAATGCAGCTTTAAAAATGTGAAACAACAGCAGGATCGCTGACAAGAAGGTAGCAGACGGACAAATAAAAGCTGAAACAGTTCAACCGGTCGGTGTTTCGGTGCCCTGGTATCAGAGCGCTGAGGTCACTGCGTCTGAGTCTCACTGTCAGTCCAAGCGATGGGACAGCAGCAGGAGTGTAGGAGGGTCTCTGCACAAACTGCTGTGTGTTTAACTGGACTGAACGTGATTAAACACAGTGCATGCTGGGACATTATTTGATAACGGGCTCCCTGCTGTGTCTCCTCTTCAGAGCCGCTTCATAAAGAGGTCCAGAGCTTGGCGTTTATCAACATCGTCTCCAAGCTGAGGGCTCACGAAAACAAGACGGTATCACACCAGGCGTCGCTCACAGAGCAGCGACTAACGGCCCAGAGCTAAATGACTGAGTCTGACCCCACCCACACCTGCCCACCCGAATGCCTGCCTGATACCCAACTCTCCAGTGACACCTCACCACTGCGCTCCCCCGTGCCCCATCGTCATGTGCCAAGGTACCATGTCATGTGAACTGCGAGCCAGATCTCCACTTATGTCTCTGCCACCTCCACTAGGGTTAGACTGATGTGTACTTTGTGCTTATATACAACCTGAGCTTTTATTTTGAAGACCTCACCATAAATCCAAACTAGTCCAAGTGAAAACCTCTGTTTTTAGACGCGCGACGGATACACACAGTCCTCTGGAAGCCATATTTGTAGTTTTATTCAGACGGGTTAGCAGGAGGCCGGCTGAGGAAGGCTTCACACACGACCTGATGTGTGAACGCATTAGTCTAACCCTACCCCCTCCTCTACACGTGCATGCGTCTCAGTAGCTCCACGAGAGCGCCACAGACTGCCTGATGCAATAGATCGAAGAAGACACTCTTTTATGACCATAGCTGTGACGCCATCTGCCGGTAAGCCGTCCAACAAAGTGTGCACAAAAAAATCTTTCCTGTTGTGGGTTTTCTTTGGTTTTTCGAAGCAGACAGCCATGACGCGCCCAGCTGTGTCCATGTAGATAGAGTATACGCTGACTAGGAGCCGTGCATGTTTTAGTCCCGTTCAAGGTGTGTTTACCTGTCCGCCGCTTGCATACTCCAGAGCATAGCCAGCCCTCTTCCTGCTGACACCTCGAGTCCTGGACTCGATTTTATTCAGTTTTTAACTTGTGCTGTCCAAACAGTTCCACAAACAAAATACGAGCAGAGCAGCAAATTGGACGTGTGCCCTTC